GTCCCGGTCCGGTACGGGGGCGACACTGAGGGTTGCGATCCGTTGCCGGACACGGAAAAAGACAAAAAAAAACAAAAAAAAAAGTTATGGAAGACTATTTTTTTCTTAATATGTTAAAGAATATCTGTCTCAAACCAATAGCTAATAGTATATTTGACAGTAAGATATTATACATATATCCAGTATACTGAGGTAGAAGGTAAGGATGTTTACTACTTAATACTGTTCTGGAAGTTCCAGGCAATATAGTTCTATAAGAAAAGGATATAAATGGTATAACTGTTGAAAAGAGAACATAGAGTTGTCTTTACTTGCAAATAGCATGACTTTCTATTCATACTAAAAAACTACTTTGAATAAGTGAATAATTATTCACTTGAATAATTTTTAAATATGTAAAGAATATAAAAATATAAAATATTTTTTATATATTTAAAAATCAGCTCCTTTGACAGCTCCACCTTTCCATTTGCAACCTAGATCCCACCTTTTTTTTTTCCTTTTTGTCTTTTTTCGTGTCCGGCAACGGATCGCAACCCTCAGTGTCGTGCCCGTACCGGACCGGGACCGGCAACGGGATCGCAACTCTCAGTGTTGCACCCGCACCTCGCTCAGCCAGTGAGCGGGAACCGGTCTGTATGTGGGATCCGAACCCTCGGCGGGAGCGCCACCACGCTCCCAAGCGGCGCACTGTAGCAGTGTGCCACCGGGCCGGCCCTAGATCCCACCTTTTTTTTTCCTTTTTGTCTTTTTTCGTGTCCGGCAACGGATCGCAACCCTCAGTGTCGTGCCCGTACCGGACCGGGACCGGCAACGGGATCGCAACTCTCAGTGTTGCACCCGCACCTCGCTCAGCCAGTGAGCGGGAACCGGTCTGTATGTGGGATCCGAACCCTCGGCGGGAGCGCCACCACGCTCCCAAGCGGCGCACTGTAGCAGTGTGCCACCGGGCCGGCCCTAGATCCCACCTTTTTGCCTCTTTGTGGACTTTGTGTTTGCAGTTCTCCCTCTCATTTTTTTCTCATCATTTTTGTCTCTTTTCTGGATTATCCTAATCAGCATATGTCAGAGTGTCTCCCATCTTTAAAATATCCTCCTCTTGCATTGTGTGTTTTTCCAGGTACAACCCCATTTTTCTGCTCCCTTTACAGCAAAGCTCTTAATGAGAATTGCCCATGGTTGCTACCTTAGCCCTGTATCTGCCGTCTTCTCTTTTTCTTTCTACACCCTTTCTTCTTTTTATTATTGTCTTTTCCGTATGTTGTATGTTGGCAAGAGGACTTGCATTTGTCTGGGTCGTGGGCCTACCTTAGGTGTGTGTGTGTCTACAGAGCTGTGCCCCATTCCTCTTTCTTCCCTGCCACCGACTCCCCGACCCCATCGAAGTCCTGTGTGACCTGATTTGCCACATCCACTGGTCAGTTCTCTGTCCTCGTCTTACTCAGTGTCTCAGCAGCGTCTCACACGGTTGTCTACTCTCCTCTCCAAAGCACTTTCTCCAGCTGCCTTCTGGAACACCGGGGTCTCCTCATTTCCCTCCCACTTCATTCACTCTACACCTCTCAGCCTTCTGTGGTCCCTGGCTCTGTCCTGGGATCCCCTCTATAGCCTTGTCCTCTCCTTGGGTGATGTCATCCAGGCCCACAACCTTTAACATCTTCTAGTCCCTGAGCCCTGATTTATGTTTCAAGCCCCCTCTCCCTGGAGTCTGGATTTGTAAATCCAGGTGCCTGCTTGAAATCTCCACTTGTACGTCTAATAGGCACCTCAAGGCTCACTCTTCAGTCTTGGTTTTTCCCTCTCAAACTTGTTCCTCCTCCACTCTTCCTCATCTTGCTTAATGGGATCCTCCTTAACCCACTTGCTTAAGCCCCCAGACCAGGGTCCATCCTTGATCTTTCTCTTTCCCTCCCCTCTCCCCGACATTCAATCTGTCAACCTTCCCTATTGAGTCTGTCTTCAAAATATGTCATGTCCTTACTCTGCTGCTACAACCCGAGTCCTGCCCGCCGCTCTGGACTCCTGCCTGGCCTATTTGCAGTAACCTCTCCAGTTGGTCTCCTGCCTTCTGCCCTCCTCCCTGCTCTCTGTTTCTTTATAGCAGCCAAAATGACCTTTTAAACCGCAAATCAGGTCATGCCACTCCTCTGATAGCCCTCAGTAGTTTACTATTACATTCAGAATAAAAGTCCATTACTTTTAGGATCTGAAGGATCAGGTCCATGAGTCCTCTCTGACCTCGTCACAGCCCCGCACCCCCCGCGCTGGCTCTCTCTGGCTGCCCACCCCTGCCTTTACACTCAGCCTCCCACCTCTGCACATGTTCCCTGGGCCTCAGGTGAGTGGCCTCCCCGAGGCCTCCCCCAATGTGGCTTGCTCCATTTCATTATTGACATCTGTGCTCAAATGTCATACCTTCAGAGTTGTCCTCCCAGATCATTCTTCGTCAACCATGTACTGCTTCCCCAACCATGCTCTTACCCTGTGTATTCTCTCTATTACTTACAAGTGTCTGAAATTATTTTTCTATTTATATTCTTGTTTATTGTCAGTCTCTCCCCCTAGAATAGAAGCTCCTTGAGGGCAGCAGCTTCTTCAGCTTGTTCTTTCTTTCTTTTTTTGCTCTTTCTTTTATCTCTTGTGCTTAGAACAGTGTTGGCATATAGGAGGTGCTCAGTTAATATCTGCTGAATGAATTCCAGCACTTACCAGTTATAAAACATACTGCAAAAACGACTGTTTTTACTGCGACATATCTCCTAAACGTCAATAAAAAGATAAGCAACAAAAATGAGGTGTCATTTTTTTCCCTATCAAATTGGAAAAACTAACATTAGTGATAATGTTGGTGAGGATACTAGCAAATGGGCTCTCTCATTTGCCACTGGTGGAAATATAAAATGGTCTAAGCTTTCCTAAGTGGTGAGTCATGGGTGATTTTTATCTCAACTTTTGTGGTTTGCTATGTTTCCCAATTTTTTCCAATTCCTTTTTTTCCCCAGAAATTACTTTTTAAACTAGAAAAATCTAATAATCTTAATCTTTCTTTTTTTTTTTAAAGTTAACCTTGCATAGCAAACTTCTGAAGCTAATCCCAGCAGCAAGATGGTCTTGTTCTGCTAGTGAACCTCTTCTCTTGAGAATGTTTAATCTGAATCCCAGATCATTTTTCTCTGGGATGATGCAATACTGGTCGTTGAAAACTGTATTTGCAGGGCCGGTCTGTGGCTCACTTGGCAGAGTGTGGTGCTGATAGTACCAAGGCCACGGGTTCAGATCCCATATAGGGATGGCCAGTTGGCTCACTGGGTGAGCGTGGTGCTGACAGCACCAAATCAAGGGTTAAGATCCCCTTACCGGTCATCTTTAAAAAAAAAAAAGAAAAAGAAAAAGAAAACTGTATTTCCAGAGTTGCTGTAGTTCTGAGTCCTAAGCTGGTTTCTGAGCCCACCAGAAATGTGGGGCTGGGAAAAACATGCACGAAGGCAAAGCCCACCCAGTTTGAGGTGGGGTCCTATAACCCTTCCTGCCAAGACGCAGGTCTCTATAGCACAGCATTTCTTGGCAGACACGCTGCCCTATTCTCTCATGACTTGGGATTGAATGAAAAACAATAACAATTATAGCCACACATTCCTTTCCTTCTTCTGTATGCTGCTGGCCTTCTGATGCCTGTTTCCCTGTGACACCTCCATGCCCTGTTCTGCCAGTTCCCAAGCAGCCAGTCTTGTTAAAGAGAGACTGTTAGAGAGTGGTCTAACCAGTGGGTTCTTCTGCAGTCTCCCTTCGTTTCTTTCTCTTCTGGAAATGCATTGCTAGCTTGACCGTTCCTTTCATTATGCTGCTTTTTAGGCTTGGCAGTTAAGTTCTAGAGCACCCAGTGGCCCCTAAACAGTGTCCACTCCAATGGCAGTGAGCAAAGAAAGGGGCTGCACAAACCTGGCTTCTAGCCCCAGGCAGTTGCGCTCACGTTTTCTCAGCCTCATTCCTCTTAGACCCTGGACCACTGACAGTTTGCACCGACAACCTCAAGAATCTGCCAAGAGACCGAAAATAGTTTTGTGCAAGAACTGAGAGTTGGAGCTGGCTCAGGATATGGCTTCCACTGCCTTTTGCAGGCCGAATGGCACACACACATAGAACGACTGTGGAATCCCAAGTGCAGGGATCTGGCGAGGTGGTGAGAAGGGCAGCTCTTAACTACAGATGGCCCCCGACTGTGATGGTTCACCTTATGATTCTTTGACTTTACGATGGTGCGAAAGTGATACATAGTCAGTAGAAACCGTACTTCAAATTTTGAGATATTCAACACTTTATTATAAAATAGGCTTTGTGTGAGGTTATTTTGCCCAACGGTGGGCTGATGTGAGTGTTCTGAGCATGTCTAAGGTAGGCGAGGCTGACCTGCGATGTTTGGTAAGTTAGCTGTTTTTAATGCATTTTCCGCTCAGGATATTTTCAACTTATGATGGGTTTACCTGGATGTAACATTATTGTAAGTCAAGGAGCATCTCTGCTTGGTCTTCTGTTGGAAAACCTGTCCCTTCTCCCTTGGGGCTAACTGGACATGGCAGAGCAACTGCCTACAACAGGGTGGAGAGGCTCTAATGAAAAGCTCCCCCTTTCTTCTTAACCACCTGGCGGAGGTCTGATTGTGTTCTAAAGGTGCATAATCCATCTTCATCTTTGTGCTTTGAAAGCATACCATTGGAGAGGGAAATTGCTCTCCTAGAATAAGCATGGTCTTCCATTAGCCTCTGCCACGACTTGAGCCTGTGTGAGACTTGGGGTCCCTGCACAGTTAGAGACCATGGGGTAGGTGAGATTATAGGAAACTTGTCCCTTTTGCCCAGCAGCCCTGCTTTGGATCAGTTGCTCATTTATCTGTACTTCAGTGTGTTCCTGTTCTTCTATTCCTCAAGCTTAAGGAGCTCCAAAGAACTCTGTAATTAATCTGGTTCAGAATTTACCACCTTCTTTTACTTTTCTTTTTACAGCTTAAACTGTGGAACAAATACCGAATCTCCAACATTCCATCACTAATATTCCTAGATGCCACCACCGGGAAGGTCGTCTGCAGGAATGGGCTGCTGGTGATCCGTGATGACCCAGAAGGTAAAACCTTGGCATGTCCATTCTGTACTTTTCTTATCCAACCCTCCCTTCCCTTCCTTTACCCTAATCTCCTCTTCACTGGTGGAGAGAGTACTAATGAAATATATGTAAGTGGGTTTACATGGCTAGAGAATATTGTCTTGATGAGATTATTGTATTCTCTAGGTCATGGTTAAGATTTTTAGAGGGATCAGAATGTCCCTCCTGGGGGCTTTAATTCATGGGCCAAAGGAGATGGAATCTGAGAAGCAAGTTGAGCTCTGAGGGCTAAGGAGGCCCTGTTGAAAAGCAACTGGAGCCCCCAGATATTGACTTCTAGTTCTATTTCAACAGCAGCTGCCACCTTAACAATCGGGGGTTTTTCTCTTCCAAGTGTCCGTGTTGCTCTCCTGGCCTGGGCATGAGAGCACCTTATTACTTGGTGCTGCCCGACCGGCCATGCACTGTGTGAGCCGCTCTGATCGCCCTGCTTGGTGGCTGTCCAAGATGTGCTGCTTTTCCCTTGTGCTGGAGTGATGAAAGGATTGTAAGATCTCTCCTCCCTCACTCACTGATCCAAACAGAGGATTCAACCTTGGTCACAAATTTTCCCAGTAAAAATTTCACTTGCTTCAAAGCATTGCCCTCAGTAAAAACCAATGTATGGTGGAGCCAAGTCTGTGCCTTCTCAAATTTAAACACACACAGACACACACACACAGAGTATTCTGAAGACTGTTAACAATGCAGATTCCCCTGCCTCACCCCTAGAGATTTTTGGATTCTTTTTGTTTCAGGGTGGGCTTGGCAGCCTGCATTTTTAACCAGTCCGTGCTTCCCCTGCCCATCCCCCACCCCCCAGGCCATTTTGAGGCAGTGGTCCATGGACCACCCTGTGAGAAAACCCCGTTGGGTTGAGCTGGGAGCATATTATTTACTCTTCCTGTCTGGAGCTTAAGTGTCATCAGAATGTTGACCATCTGAGTTGCGTGGATTTTACTCTTTCCTTTTATTAGACTTAAATTCTCATTTAGTTCCTGAAGCCCCAACCAAGACCAATTGAATCAGAATATGTGGGGGTGGGGCCAAGGAATATCATATTTTAACATTCTCCAGCTGGTTCTAAAACGAAGTTAGAGTTGAGAACCGGCAAGACGCCAGGGTTGAGATTGAATCAACTCATGGTTAATACCTGAGGCAGTGATTTCCACACCTGGCCCATCACAGTTACCTGGGATGCCTGTCTTGTTTTATTTTGAACTTACATCTTTGTCTTCCTCCTGGATCTGGAGACCTGGGGTGTGACCTGGGCATCTGTACTTTTCAAAAGCCCCCAGGAGATGGACCTTATGATCATCTAGGTTTGGGAACCATTGCCTTGAAGGTACAGCAGGGCTCTGCCATGGATGAGCTCAACCTTTATTCCTGTGTTAGCTACGGATCCTGTGGGTGTGTTAACAAATCCTGTTTGATGATAAAGTTGTTGTGCCTGCAGCTCTGAGGCCTCATGGGTCCCAGGCTGTAAAGAAAAGTCTTAACATTCTCACCATCTGTTGCCTGTTTCAGGTCTGGAATTCCCTTGGGGACCTAAACCCTTCAGGGAAGTCATTGCAGGGCCCTTGCTTAGAAATAACGGGCAGTCCCTGGAGAGCAGCAGCCTGGAGGGGTCTCACGTGGGAGTCTATTTCTCTGCACACTGGGTGAGTGTCTGGTCCCTCCAGACAGAAAGAAGCAGTGATATCACCACCAAGCCATCTGTGGTTGGCTTCTGGAGGTGTGACTGTTCAGGAAGGGATTTCTTGGCCTTCTTCTGTGCCCAATGGATTGTTGGCATACAGTCATTGCTTATTATTTATGAATGGTAATAGCAGCAAGAAAATGACTTCTCTTGACTGGTCTAAAAGGATATTCCCCCTAACCTATTCGGATGAGACTTCTAATGGTCCCTACGGGGGGTTGACTGCTGCCTGCTTGCACGCTGCATGTGGGGAGGAGCCTGTGCTGGTTGCTCACTGTTAAGAGAGGCAACTTTATTTCCATCTCTTTTATAAATTGGGTTTTGCTGTCCCGGTCCTACTTGGGTCTTGCATACGTGGCCTCTGATGGCTGGGACATGGAGAAGGTATGTCACACAGCAGGGTCCTGCTCTTGTCTTTCAGTGTCCACCCTGCCGAAGCCTCACTCGGGTCCTGGTGGAATCCTACCGGAAGATCAAGGAGGCAGGCCAGAAATTTGAGATCATTTTCGTTAGTGCAGACAGGTAATGTGTGCCAGTGAAGTAACAGCGCTGCTCCTCTCTTCTGTAGGTGGTTAACATCTATTTCTTACTTCTTTATTGTAAGGCTCAGAGATAGGGATTGTGGAAGATGTGTCTGGGATTATCGGCAAAGGGACAGATACATTTCATATTTACTTATTTAATTGTCTAAAGGAGAACTGAGAAAAACCTTTTTTTTTTGCTATAAATACTGGGATACATCCCAATTCAGGCCTGGGTTGTTTGAGATTAGGATGCGTTTTCCGATTTGTTCAGCTTTTTAGATCGTGGTGAAAAGATATGGAGTGGGGAGGATAGGAAACAGCCAGAAACTAATGCAGTATGACACCTGTCTTGGATGGATAAGCAAGGATTTTTCTTAGCTCTGGCCACGTACATTGTCTGGGGCTATTTGAAAGCACGTGGATAAGGAATCACAAAAGCAAGAAGGGCCGACATCCCTCCTGGAGTAAGTTAGGTCCTTTTAGCCTCAATTTCCCTGCTTCTTGCCTTTTCTCTGGCTTCGCTCATCATTGCACACCTTCATCTCAAAACTCCAGCCCCAATTCTGACTGAGTCACCAGGCGCTTCTACCTCTTGAGCTGCTGTTCACAGAAAAGTCTGAGATGTCAGCACACTGGGGGCATTTTCAATGTCATTGTACCCTTGATGTCCGCACTGTTCCACGCTTGGTTTATTGGCCCCTGGTCCCGCTTCACAGCGCCACAGCTCCCCATGTGTGCAGGGCGAGCTTGAAGCCATGCCAGGTGGAGCAGTCACTTTTTTAAAGCTTTCAACACCATCACCTTTATTGACGTATAATTTATATACAATAAATGCATACATTTTAGGTGTACAGTTCAATGGGTTTTGACTACTGTATGTGCCATCATCATCACAGTTGAGATATAGAACATTTCCATCACTCAAAAGGTTCCCTTGTGCCCCTTCTCAGTGAGTCCCCATGTCCAAACCCCAGCCCCCGGGAGCCCCTGATCTGCTTTCCTAGTGTTTGTTATACATGGAATCATAGATTTATGCTTGGTTTAAATGTGTGGTCCTGTACAAGTCACTGTTCAATGCACAAATTAGAAATACCACGGGAAATGCGATGGCTGTGTACATCTAAGCTCCTTATAAAAGTAAGACTTGTCTGTGTTGATAAATGATAAGCTGAGCACGAGTTAAGTGGGTAGCATGCAGGGGAGTGGGTTGTTGAAATGGCCTGGCATTTTAGTTTGGGATCCACCTGTCGCATGGAGGCATTTGTTTCTCGGCAAACACCAGAACCGGCAGAACAGCACTCCCATAGCCTGGCGTGTGAGGATCCCCAGGATTAGAAACCCGGCTTCTGTGGAAGCCCAGGCACAACCTGGTAAAAGGTGGGTGCATTCGGGGAGGATAGAGCCTTGTTCTCTGTGCGTGTCTCTCTGCAGGTCAGAAGAGTCATTCAAACAGTACTTCAGTGAGATGCCCTGGCTTGCTGTCCCCTACACTGACGAGGCCCGGCGGTCGCGCCTCAACCGGCTCTACGGAATCCAAGGTAGGCATTCCAGGCCTGACTCCATGAGGCTCCTGGGAAACCTGCTTGGTTGGGCTCACCACAATCTCTGGCTTAACTTTTAGAAGAAAAAGAACATTGTTATTTCTATGAGTTCACATTCCTCACCATCTTAACAGTTACTTGGGGTGAATTTTACGGTGTGTAGATTACAACTCATTAATGTTTTTTATTTTTTTAAAAGAAAAAAGTACTTTTCCTGGTAACACAGCTACTTTTTCACCCCCAATGTAGTGGATTCTGATCATGAAGCACACACTCCCAAATGACTTGGCCAAAACCCTACCCCAAAGGTTTTACTGTCAGACCTCAGAGTGATCTTTGGTTCCTTCACTCAGAGTCTTTGAGCCTCAGTTTCCTCATCTGCAAAATGGGAATGATAAATCTTTGCCACAAAGAGTTGCTGGGAGTGTTAATAGGTAATGTGTGTAAAGCACTTCTTGTGGTTCCTGAAAACATAATAAAGAGGGAGGGCTCAGTGAGTATTACCTTTTAAGTGAGAAAATTAATTTTCTGAGAGTGTTGAAAACTAGGACTTGGAGTACTAATCATGGTGTTTTTCATAAATAACGATTATTAGTGAAACACACTGTATTTTTATTCTTTATTATGTGAATACCTCCTTCTCAGCCTTCACCCAGCCAGATTTTTTCTTGGTGAAGCCATTAACTGGCCATGGTAAGAGTTAAGCTCATTCTCTTTGTACCAATAGTACCAGGTCCTGGTTAGCCCTAGATAGATAGTTAACATTGAGCTCTTAGTGCTTCTTGTGTTTTAGGGGAAAAAAGGCAAATCAAGATTTACCCTCAAATTCCGCAGCCTATGGGGGAACTCATGAGATTTTTTAACCTTTTTTTTTTGCCATTTAGAGTCAGTCTATGGCTTTGTTTGGAGCTGAAGTTTTTTTTTTTTTTTTCTGACCGGTAAGGGGATTGCAACCCTTGGCATGGTGTGGTCTGCACCACGCTCAGCCAGTGAGCACACCAGCCATCCCTATATAGGATCCGAACCCATGGCCTCGGCGCTACCAGCGCCGCACTCTCCTGAGTGATCCACGGGGCCGGCCCTAGAGCTGAAGTTTTAAAAATTAATATTTAATTTTAAATCAGTGCTTCTAATCTCAAGTGGGATCTTGTGAGAATGTACCTTCGGTTGAGTGGGTCTGGGTGGGGCTGCATTTCTGGCCAGCTCCCAGCCGATACTCATGCCTGTGGCCCAGGGACCACACTTTGAGCATTAATATTCTAGATCTGTTAATCCTTGGAGAATTTTGGAGGCTCATATCTCCTGTTAATAACAAAGATGAATGAAGTTCCCTTCCCAAGCAGAAGTTGAGTGACACAACATTGTTGACTGGTCCAGAAAGAAAGGCACCAAGTTGATGACTTAAAGATGTCACAGAGGTATTTCCTTCCAGCACTTTGCTTGCAGAGGCAATTACAACATGTGTGCCTAGGGGTGGTAACGTTGTTTCTTGAGATAAGTATCGGGATGATCCTAGACCAGTGGTACTGAACAGATGGTAGAATTGCCACTTCGTGAGGGTAAGTTAGATTTCATGTCTGTTCATTCATTCATCCATCCATTCACTTATTTATTCACTCAACAAGTATTTACCAAGAGCTGACTAGATGCAATTGCATTCTTCCAGGCATTGGAGATACAGTCTTGAGTAAAAACAATCCTTGCCCTTGGGGTACATATAGTTCTAAAGGGGAGATGTACCCTAATCAATGAATCATCCAAATAGATGTAAGTGGTAACTGTGAGTGCTCTGAAGGAGAGGCTTCCAGTGCTAGGGGGCCTGTAATAGGGAGATTTGGCCTAGTTGGTGAGATCAGAGAAGGCAAGGAGCATTATGCTCAAACTGAGATCTGGAAACCAAATAGGAATTGATGGGGAGGACAGCAGATGGGGAGGAAAGGTCATGGCAGAAGGAACAGCATGTGCAAAGGCCCTGCCAATGAGTGTCATGAGGAAGGAGGCTGGGGTGTCACAGAATAGACCTGGCCTTGGTGATCACAAGGGCTCTCCCCTTTCTCAAACTGTATGACAGGGATAGGGAAAGTCTTGTGGGTTGTAAGTGTTTTCCTCAGTCCTTTTTGCACTTTTAAAAAATACATGGGATGTACTTTGTCCTTCCTGCCCTTGGGTTTCAGGTGTTCACCCCAGAAGTGACTCTATGTATTACTTAAAGGAGATGTGACTGTCTTATTGTAACTGAACAGTGGGAAAGGGGTTCTGCCTGGCCAGCACAAATGTTCCTCAGCCTCAGTTTATGGGTTGTCACTAGAGGCCCTCGGAGGGGCTACCGATGAGACATGCTACTTGGCTAGGTTGGACTTAGGTTTTTGCTAAGCATTTGTTTCCAAGACTTTGCAGTCCTTCGGTGCCCATATCTATGGGCAGCTGGGCCCTGCCTCTTCTGATGATCATGCATTTTCCATCCTGGCCTTTTAGCAATACTGGGACGCTCCTGGTTATTTCCAGACTCCCGTTCCCCTTATGCACCGGCAGGTGTCTTTGGTGTATTATGTTCCTCTGACTCCCCTAACAAAGGCTCCTCAGTCATGATCTAGCCTCTCTCACCCCCCTCCCAGCCTGTGTGTGTGTGTGTGTGTGTGTGTGTGTGTGTGTGTGTACAAATGTGCACAAAGGGGCTGGCCAGTTAGCTCAGTTGGTTGGAGTATGGTGCTGATAACACCAAGGTTTGAGGTTCAATCCCTGTAGTGGCCAGCTGCCAGAGAAAAGAGTTACAAATGTGCACAAAGCATGACTGTGCATGATGCAGCTGGGCCTTGGAGCATGCCCTCACAGATGACTTGGGAGTCGTCTTAGAGGTGCAGGCCAGGAAGAATGTCAACTGTCCTACCCCTACCAGGCTTGGGCCCTCCTAGATCTTTGCCCAGGGCATTGTTTCCTGTCTTATTTCTTTCCACACTCACTGATACTACCACTCTCGAGTAGGCTACCAACACCTCAGCCCTGGCCGCAACCCCTACTGCAGAATGGCCTTAACCAAGTTATTTAATGTATTAATTTCTATTGCTTATAACAGAATACTTGAAATTTGGTAATTTATAAAGAAAGTGAAATTTATTTCTTACAGTTTCAGAGGCTGGGAAGTCCAAAGGCCATGGAACACATCTGGTGAGAACCTTCTTCTGGTGGGAACTCTCTACAGGGTCCCATGGTGACCAGGGTGTCATATAGCAAGAATGGGCTGAACAAGAGAGCTAAGCTTCTCACTTGCCCTCCTTGTAAAGCCATTAGAACCACACCCTTGGGGCCGGCCTGGTGGAGCACTGCTGCAGTGCGCCGCTTGGGAGTGCGCCGGCGCTCCCGCCGAGGGTTCAAATCCTACATACAGACCGGTTCCCGCTCACTGGCTGAGCGAGGTGCGGGCGCAACACTGAGGGTTGCGATCCCGTTGCCGGTCCCGGTCCGGTATGGGCGCGACACTGAGGGTTGCGATCTGTTGCCGGACACGAAAAAAGGCAAAAAAAAAAAAGAACCACACCCTTTACCCCATGAATGGATCAATCCATTCACGAGGGCACAGTCCTCACAATCTAATCACCTCTTAAAGGCACCACCTTTCAAATACCATAACTGGATTTCCCACCCTTTCATAGCACTGTTACAATGGGGGTCAAGTGTCCAACACATGAACTTTTGGGGGACACATTTAATCCATAGCACTTAACCTCTCAGTAAAATTAGGAAATGTCAGTGTGAGGCACAGAGGAAGCATGTAACAAATATTTGTTGACTAACTGACTCAGAAAAAGAAATGGAAAAATTTGATTTTCCTACCTAGAAAAGATAAACTTTCAGATGTCAAAAAGCTTTAACAAAGGCAACCAACAATATTAGTAACATGTATGGCAAAGAATCAATATCCTTCATAGAAAAAGAGCTCTCTCCAGACATAAGTTAAAAAAGAGAGACAATTTAGTAGAATATATGTATAAGATATGAGGCAGGCAACTCACCCAATAAATATTGTCACTATGGATATGAAAAATATTCAGCTATTTACTTTTGTGGTTTACAGGTGAAAACACTGGATTTACATTTATCACATTTATAAAGAACTCCTACCTCTCCCTTCCTGAGCTCCCCCAAAAAAGAGAAGACAGTAGACTGCCAGCAGGAGTGTATATCAGGGCAGCCTTTCTGGAGAGCAATTTGGCATTGTACATCAGAGGCTTTAAAAATCTATAAAACCTTTAATTTAGAAATCCCACTTGTAGGAATTTATTTTGAGGAAATTATCTTAGAGCAAAAGCTGAGCTCCTCTTGAGTTGGTTGCGGTGGTCTTTTTTTGTTTTGGGGTTTGTTTGTTTTTTTAATCTTCTGTATATTTTTGTATCTCGTTATGGGCCACAATTCTTTCTTTGCTTTAGCCCCTGGAAAACTCAGCTGGATCTAAGCGGTTCTGCAAAGCTTACCATTCCTGCACATGACCTTGACCCTAGCTTCATTTTCTCTTCCTTGTTTTCCCTTCAGGGTGATAGTTTTAGCTGTTTTTATTGGATTATATCATGCATTTTTAAAGCCTCCTCAAATCCTTTTTCGAAAAAAGGTGGAGTTGATTTAAATGCATAGGATTCCATCTCTTGAGCTCCAGCTAACCATTCAGTCCTCCCTGCAGTGAGCTCTGTGGGAAATAAGAAACTAGAAGGGTAGGCAGTGGTGCCCTTGAGTGGACAAGAGATTTACATCGAGAAATAACTAAAGAGCAGAGTGCGACAGTGTCTTAAGGAACCAAAAAGTAATGGTCAAATAAGTGTCCTTTGTACAAGGGCTTGGAAGTCTGACACTCGTCCCAGGGAGTGGGGCAGTGCTGTGCTGAGCCTCACTCAGCCACTGGTCCTGGTCAGGCATTTTCATACAAGCACCATGTCGTCAGTGGAGCAGAATCTTTTCCTCTCTGAGCTAGGGAGTTGCCTTTCCCCGGGTGTGGGGGCTGGTGTGAT